TAAGGTCAATATGAAAAATTGATTGCATTACTATACATGAGCAATAAACATTCCAGAAATGAAATTAAGAAAACATTCCATTTACAATAGCATCAGAGAGAATGAACTATCTGGGAATAAATTTAACACAAGTAGTACAAAAACTTAAAAGTACAAAATACTGTTGAAAGAAATTAAAGAAAATCTGAATAAATGGAAAGATATTCCATGTTCTGGATTGGAAGAGTTAATACCGTTAACGTGGCAATGTTCCTCAAACTGATCTATGTATTCAACACAATCCCAGGTGACTTTTTTTTTTTTTTTTTGCAGAAATTGACAAGTCGATAATAAAATTGATATGGAACATTTAAGAGACCTAGTATAGCCAAAACAAGCCAGAAAAAGAGAGGAACAAAGTTAGATCACTCACACTTCCCAATTTCAAAAGTCAGCTGTTAAAAGATCAACCGAGGCACATTAAAACGTTCCGGAGTTTGAGCGTGCATCCATTCAAATTGGACAGCGCCAAACTGAATAGATAGGAGCCCTCCACAGACAGGAGCCAGGGGAGTGGTTTTTATAGAGAAGAAGCGGAAGCAAAGCAAGGACATTATTTGATTGGCTGGAGCTTGAGCAGTTGCCTTGTTTGGGAAAGGCTGATTGGCTGTTTGTGACTGGTTGTTCTCAGGTTTCATTTCCTTGAATTTGAGGGCATTAACTCTGGTGTGAGTTTCGGTTTGCATGCACAGAGTACCAAGGCATTAGAGCCAGCCCAGTCTAAAGGCCCCCTTGTTTAATTTCTTTAACACTGTAAACCTACAGTAATCGAGACGGAGTGGTACCGACACAAGGATAGACATGTAGACCATTGGAATAGAATTCAGAATCCAGAATTAAATCCTCATTTTTCTGGTTAACTGATTTGTCAGCAAGGGTGCCAAGACCATTCAGTGTGGAAGGAATATCCTTCTCAATAAAAGATGCTGGGGCAACCAAATATCCCCATGCAAAAGTATGAAGTTGCACCTCTTCTTCACACCACACAGAGTAATTTCAAAATGGATCATAGACCTAAATGTAAACTAAAACTATAAAAATCTTAGAATAACATACAGGAGTAAATACTCACGGCCTTGGGTTAGGCAAAGCCTTCTTAGATATGAGACCAGAAGTACAAACGGCAAAATAGATAAGTTAGACTTCTTCAAAATTAAAAACTTCTGTGCTTGTAGGATGCCATTGAGAAGGTGTAAAGATGACCTACAGAATGCGAGAATAGATTTGCAAATTGTATATCATGTAAGAAACTTGTATCTAGAATATATTTGAAAGAACTCTTACAAGTTAATAAGAAAAAGACAATTCAATTTAAAAAATGGGCAGTCTTCTTTCCAAAGAAGATACGCAAATGGCCAACAAGCATGTGAAAAGATGCTCAACATCCTTCCTCATTAAGGAAATGTAAATCAAAACCTCAATGAGATACTGCTTCGCATCCACTTGGATTACTATAATCAAAAGTTCAGACAGTAACAGATTTTGGCAAGGATGGGGAGAAATTGGAACGTTTCACACTGCTGGTGTCTGTAGCCACTGTGGAAAATAGTCTGGCAGTTTTCCAAAGGTGAAACAGAATTACTACGTGACTCAGCAATTCCATTCCTAGATACGCACCCAAGATAAATGAAATTGACGTCCACACAAAAACCTGTTCCTGAACGCCCATAACAGCATCATTGGTAATACCCCAAACATAGAAACAACCCATGTATCCATCACCTGATGAATGGATAAAGAAAAGGTGGTATGTCCATACAGTGGAATATTATCTGGACATGAAAAGGAATAAAGTACTGATACATGCTACAACTGTGTGCATGGTGTGTGGACAGAGGAACTTTGAAGACATTATGCTGAATGAAAGAAGCTGGTCACGAAGGACCACATATTATATGAGTCCAATTTTTATGAAATGTCCAGAATCAGCAGATATATAGAGACAAGAAGTCGATTATTGGCTGCCTCCAGCTGGGAGGAAAAGGGTGGGTTGCTGGTCTGATGATGATTCAAGCATACTGGGTCACTCTCAGGGATGATGAAAATATTCTGAAACTGATTGTGGTGATGGTTGCACAATTCTGAATATACTAAAACCCACTGAATTGCATATTTTAAATGTGTAAGGTGTATGGTATGAAAATTATATCTCAATAAAGCTGTTAAAAATAAAAATCAGCCCTCTAGATTCTAAAGTGCCTGTTCCGTCCTGGCAGGGGGTGGCTCCTGGAAGCTGCTTTTCCCTGAGACCAGGGTGGGGTCTGGGGACAGGAGTTTCCCTTAGTTCCGAGTGTGCAGGAAGGGGCTCTGCATTAAGTGCAAATGCGCCAATGGCATCTCTGGGGACCCCTCCTTCGAGTCCTGTCTCACTACAGATCTGCCTCCTGACCTCATTTATGGTCAAGTTCAGGTTTTTCCTGCGGGACTGGGGCTTCCGCTTTGGTACTTACTCTTAGCACACAGCAAAGGGTCGTGAAAACAGTGGTGGTCTTTAGAGCTATGCACAGCTGGCTGTGAGTTCTGGCTCAGCTCTTTGGAAGCTATGAGGCACAGGTAAGTCACCCAGCCTCTGTGGGATTCCATCCCTTCCTCTATAAGTTCAAGAGAAAGCGAAAAGTAACTTGTATCAGCTTGTGAGAGGGTGAGACAGATGACTGTCAAGTATCGAATTTGGTGTCTGGCCCATGGCAAGTGCTCAGCATTCATTCCTTCTCCCGAATGGTGGAGATGCTGGCAGTGCTTTATGCATCTGGACAGATCCTTCTGAACTGAGGCAAGCTTGTTTAGTGTCTCATAATAATGATAATGAGAAAGAAAACAGCTATCTCTTATCGAGGGCTCTCTGTTTTCAAGAGAGTTTGCACAACTAAGTTGTTCAGTGCTGGCCCTGCCCCATGCAAGGAGCCTGGGACGAGGCGGCAGGAGGTGGCAGGAGCCTCTGGAGGGCTTTTGGGACAGCTGAGTTGGCCTGGGCAGCCCAAGGCCTTCGCGCAGCCCAGGCACGTTTCCAGGTCCTCACTGTGATCCCCAACCTCCCTCCTGGATCCAGGCTGCTTCCCCATCTTCGCAGGCGCATTCCTCTGGCTTGGGACGCACAGTTCTGATAAGTCCAGTGGAGGCTCAGGGTCCTTGGGAGGTCAAGGAACTTGGGCCCCAGATGTCATCTGTCCAGTGACAGAAACCAGATGCTGCGAAGGAACAGAAGCCAAAGGGAAAATAAGAAGTTAAATGAAAGGGCCAGGAGCCCGATTGCTCCCCCACCACTGGGCTGAAGGGTTGGAGCAAACGCCCACAGCTCTGCTTGGACCCGCCATATCACCACCGTTTTCTCGGGGTCCCATTGTGAGGGGCCAGGGCTGAGCCCCTACTGTCTGCATCCCAGCCGTGCCCTGGGTGGGACCCTGGGAGACTCTCAGGGAGAGGAGTGGGTTTACATCTGTGCAAGCCCCTTATCTTGAGGCAGGTGGATAATGGAGTTTGTGGATTGTTGGCAGTCCGTGGACCCCACTGAGGAACACCTCTCTCAGCCATAAACAAGGGAAACAACACTACAATATAGCAAAAGCCTAGAGCAGTTGTCATATATTAAGCTTCTATTATGTGCCAGATATCGACCTGGTGTTTATATACATGATCTCATCCAATCCTTAAATCAAGGTAATGTTACCCTTTTTGTTTGCAAATGAGGGGACTGAGGCTCTGAGTGTCAAGTGACCTGCTAGCTAGTCATACAGCAGGACAGCGGGGAAGCAGAGGTTTGCACCCACCTCTCATCTTGGTCCTTACTCCACGCAACACCCGTGCTAGCTACTAATTGTTCCTTGAGGTTGCCATGTTTTCTGGCTATAGAAAAGTGGAGAGGTGAGCAGGGGTGAATCTTGAAGGCTCTGCTAAGCCTTACACAAGAACTGAATCTTTTTTTCTTGTGAGAAATGGGGAGCTGTTAAGAGCTGCATTTTAGAAAAATCACCTTAACTGCCCTGTGGATATACCTTGATGTAGAGGGGCTAGCGAGGAGCTGTTCTAATAATATAGGTGAAAGCTGAGGTGAGCTTGAGTTAGGGCCATGGGATAGGGGTGGAGGAGATACACACATAGAGAATTTAATTGAGTAGATTCTGTGGGACTCGATGGCTAACTGTACATAGGAGAAGGGGGAAGAGAGGGCAGCCTCATTCTGAAGGCTGTGTTCTTTCCTCCCTCTGAACTAGTGTTTTTTTGTTTTGTTTTGTTTTGTTTTGGGTTTTTTTTTTTGCAGTACGTGGGCCTCTCACTGCTGTGGCCTCTCCTGTTGCGGAGCACAGGCTCTGGACGCACAGGCTCAGCGGCCATGGCTCACGGGCCCAGCCGCTCCACGGCATGTGGGATCTTCCCGAACCGGGGCACGAACCCGTGTCCCCTACATCGGCAGGCGGACTCTCAACCACTGCGCCACCAGGGAAGCCCCTGAACTAGTGTTCTTTTGATAAACGCTTTTACATTCATCATCTAATTTGATTCCCCAAATTGTTCTCTAACTTCAGTTGAGCAGATGCTATTTCTGCATCACAAATGAAGACACCGAGTCTCAGAGAGGTGACAGGATGGGTTGCTTAAAAATCAAAGTGCTTGGGGAATTCCCTGGTGGTCCAGAGGTTAGGACTCCATATGCTTCCACTGCAGAGGGACCAGGTTCAATCCCTGGTGGGGGAACTAAGAACCTGCAAGCTACTCCCCCCCCACCAAAAAAAAATCAAAGCGCTTGAACTCAGGTGTGCTCATCGCCCATCTGTTCTCCTTGCTCGAAATCACCGTGACCTCATTTACTTAGATTTTTTTTTTTCATCCAAAGGTGCCACCACTTTTGTTTACTAGATCATAAGATGATACTGGCCCATTACCCTTGACCTAGTCAAACCTCTACAGAAGACTTAATGATGCTATTTAGACTGCATTTCCTTGCTGCTTTGTGCAGGTGGCTTTCACATTGTTGCGTAGACAGTGATGGGAACATCAGTTATTGTCGGGCCATGACTTCCAGGGCATCTTCCGAGTTGCCTGGCTGGTGACATCTCTTTCTCATTACAGGCAGCTCTGGAGCTCAGCCCAGGCTCCAGCCCAACTGGAGAATCTCCCCCTTCCACTGGAAACTTCCTTGGTTGGGTCCCAAACTGAAAAGGCATAATTCACTGAAAACCAAAATAGCCCGAGTCTGATTCCTGTAGAGGTGAATACATCAATTGCTTCTACTGACCTTCCAGAGAAGGCTGGAATTGCCAAAGGGATTATGATCAGATGTTCCAGTGACACCCAGAAATTGTGACCTCAGAGGATTTTTTCACATAGTTTCCTACCCGGCCTCCGGAGCTGCCGATGCTCAAAGATGTTGATGAGGGAGCAAGGATCTGTGGTCCAGAGGCCCAGCCGCTATTCTTAGATATTTTAAGGGTGGAAGTAGTTTTCATTTTTGAGGGACGGGAGAGGTGGGGAGAAACTAGATAAGAGGGGATTGGTGAGAGGCGGACCTGCTGCTTTCCAGCCATAGTCACCCCGCTGATTTATTTATGAGTGTTCAGGCATAGGCTACACACACGAAAAGCAACATGCTCAAAGGAAGCTCCATATACTACAGTCTGGATTGACAAGACTCAGATGAATGATTTTTATTCCATTGTTCAAGGCTTTTTCCCCCTTCTTACTCTATCAAAGAGTTCCTCGTAGGGTTTCTTGAAAGAGCAATCTCAGCCTCCCATGATGCTTTTAAAATGCAATTTATTGCACACATTTTATTAGCATTCCACTGCTTACTAATGCAGTGCATGTTCAAAATGGCACGCGTCCACCCTTAGAAGGATGCCAGCTTGTGATGTCATTAGTTTGGGATTTGCAGTTGTCTTCATGGTTTTCTGGACAGGCACGCAGTGAGTCCAGTCTGTGGTGGAGTTTAAAATGGCTTAATTTCTCCAAATCAAACTCAGGGTAAAACACACTATGGGGGCTTCCCGGCAGAGAGGTGGTGTGGGTCTGGGAGAGATGGCAGCGTGAAGACCCAGCCTCTGGTGCTCTCCTTGACATCAAACGACACGGAGACCTGAGCCAGCTTCTCCCTTCTCTGAGTCTCACTTTCCAGAAGAGGAAAGTTAGGAGGAGGGGAGAAGCCAGTGGCTCGACACTTACGTATTTATTCCTATAAGTATTTGTTTGTTTATTTTTCAGCTGCTCAACCCTTTCCCCCCAAAACAAAAAATTATTCAGAAGCCCAAAATATAAAGCAAATATAAGCAAAGCAGCCCTTGGAGTTCTGTGCCCCTGGCCATCCTTTATTCCCATGGAAGACCTTGGGAAAGCAGGTTATAGGGAATTTTTAGGGGAAGATGGTCACTCCGATGCCTTCTAGTGTGGTGTATACCTGGGTTTCTCTCCAACCTACTTCAGCCACTTAGTAGCTCTGAGAACTCAGGGGGTCACCTAGCTTCTGGTCTCTGTTTTCTCATCTGTAAAGTGGGGCACTCATGGTGCACGTGAAGGGTCTGATAAAGAAAAACCCTAGGGCATTGTCCAGACACACATATATGCTTATTGTGGTGTGTGTGTAAATGCTGACATTTGCTGAGCAGTACATACACGATGGAACTAATGAAAGCACTTTACGTGTATTAACTTTCTAATTCTTACAACACTATGAAGAAAACACTTTTATTCCCCCTCAATTTATAGATGAAGAAACTGAATCTCAGAGAGACTAGGTAACTTGTTCGAGTTCGAAGAGCTAGTTAGTGATAGATAAGAACGTTGGCAGTTTTATACATATTTGGTACAGATCTTGTCTGGAAACCTAACCCAGTTTTTAATAACCTGAAACCCAGATTATTAAACCAGACCTCTGATCCCAGGATTCCACCTCAAAGCCTGTGCTTCCTGCGTTCCTACAGCACGACCCCTTGCCAAATGTTTTAATAATTAAAAAAAGAATTTTAATTATTTTTTCTACCAACTTTTACAGTCATTTTATTAGGTGAGCTATAAAACACTTTGGGGATTTCAGAGTCAGTGACCAACCAGCGCAGAAGCTCTAGGCCTGGGGGCTCTGCCTCAGCTATTTGTCCTGGATGTGAATAGTTTCTTCAATGCTGTATTTTAATCAATCTGAGATGCCACGGATTTTAAGATTCATCCTGTCTGTTGTTGAAGCTTTTAAAATGTAACAAACCAAAAATCCTGTCTTAAAATCAATGAAATAGAAGAAGAAGAATGTGCTCCATGCCTCGATGGAGCCCTTTTACAGATGGGACAACTGAGTCTCGGTGAGTCTAAGTATCTCATTCAAGGTCTCACTGCTGGTTGGTATAGAGCTGGCGCTGAAACCCAGCCTTCAGTCTCCTGTCCTGTGCTTACTTCCCGGGACATATTGGGCTCCAGAATCGTGACTTTTTACCACTGGGCTTTACTCAGGAGAAGTGATGGCTGCAGAAGAAAGTGCAGCAAGGTCTCTGCCAAATCCCTTGAGGCGCGGGGGGTCCGTGGAGAGCGTGCGTGTTGCTTTGCTAGCAGGGATGTCTCCCTGGGGCCTACCCGTGATTTGTACCACAAACCAAAAGAGTAAACAAAGGGAAGGGTCACGTGTCTTTAAGGAGACACAGTTTCAAAAGTCAGCAAAAATCAAATACATTGTACAAATATTTGGTGAATAACCCATCCTCGTCTTTAGAAGTCAAGGACTGTAGATGAGTGGTGATGTTTCTTCTCAACTGTCCAAATATTATCACTAAGGCTGTGGAGGGCAGAGCAAGAAGCAGATGCCCGTTCCCACAGCCGCATCATCACAGTGCAGAACGGAGGGAGTGTTAACTGGAGGCTGGGGCACAGTCTCCCTGTGGAATGTTTGGGTTGGTACAGTATGGAGGAGGGAACATTGGGTGTGGAGTCAGGCAGATCTGAGTTTGAATTGTATCTGAATCATTAGCTATCTGAGTAACCTTAGTAAGCTCTTCCAACTCCCTGGATCTCAGTTTCCTCCCCTGTAAAAGGGGGATATTTAATTTAGCCTCAAGCCATGTGGGAATTCAGTGAGCTGGCACGTGTAATTGTTCTTGACTCAACACAGGAGCTCGATACATCTTTCTTCCCCATCCTTTCTCCATCTAAAACCGTACACCCACTCACCCCTATTACCCGTTCCATGCCCTTTTGGGTCCTATGAAAGTTTGGTTTCCCCAGACACAGTGCATGAGAGCAGGACGTGGGTACCAGTAGTTTATTTTGAAGGTGACCTCAGGAAGCAGGAGGGAGGGAGCAGAGATGGAGACAGTAGAGGAAAAGCTACCACGAGGGTGTGTTATACAGGAGGCCAGTGGAGACAATGGAGTCTTGACTTTGTTGGGTCATCTGCAATGTGTCGAATGTTTTCCAGAATCGCTCCTCTGAGAACAGAAGGCTAGTGCATTGGCTGACGGTTGCCCTGGGGATGTTTTCCACCACTGACCCTTCCGCACCCACACCCAGTTCTTCTGGACCATATGCACAGAAAGCAGAAAATACAAAAGCTCTTTTAAGTTCAGTTGCTGGCATCACTGTCCACCGTGGCTGTGCCTGAAATTAGATGTGAGCCAAAGGGATTTGACACCAGGTACCAAAAATCATCGGCTCCAGGAAATTTAAGACAGACGTCACAAGAATAATCTAATGTCCCTAGACCATAAGAGACTGGGCTTTGCACTCTAGCTGCATTACTAATTGGCTGAAATATCTTGTCTATGTGACAACCTTTCAGGCTTCTGTTTCCTCATCCACAGACTGGGAGGAATTCATGTAAATTAAATGAGATAACAAATATACAAGGACTAAAAGGGCGCCTGGAAGGCAGTAAGAACTCAACAAATACTAGCTGTTGCTGTTATTATTATTATTTTTAAAATTATTATTTTTTTTTTATTGCGATACGCGGGCCTCTCACTGTCGTGGCCTCTCCTGTTGCGGAGCACAGGCTCCGGACGCGCAGGCTCAGCGGCCATGGCTCACGGGCCCAGCCGCTCCGCGGCATGTGGGATCTTCCCGGACTGGGGCACGAACCCGCGTCCCCTGCATCGGCAGGCGGACTCTCAACCACTGCGCCACCAGGGAAGCCCTGTTGTTGTTATCATTGTTGGTGGTAGTAGCAGCAGCAATGGCAGTGGTGGTGGTAGCACTGAGGTTTGGGCTACAACCCAGAGTTTTACCTATAATCCAGTTGATTCTAGAGCCTGGTGATGCAAAGTGAGGTCTTCAGACCAGCAGAAGCAACATCACCTGGGAGCTTGTTAATATGGAGAATCCTCTCCCCTCTCCCCAGACCTAGGACTTAGAATCTGCATTTTAACTGATCTGCGAGCACATTACATTTTGAGAAGCAGTAGTCTGGCAGGGTGTTTCTAGGCTGGAGGATTAGGAATGTACCCTGAAGCTCTGGCTCTAGGGAGGAAGGAACAGGAATGAGGTGGGAGGATATTAGAGATGGGATTGGTGGGGCTTGGTGACAGTTCAGACAGGGGCCTGTGAAGAAGGAGGAGGGAGAGGTATGAGTTTCTAGGCTGTCATCCTCTTTTCCTTTCCCTTCCAGTGTCTGTGAAACATCCAGGTCAAGCGATCCAGGACAGGTGTAGAAGCAGCGGGTCTGGAACTTGGAGAGGTTGAACAGAAAGGTTTCAAATTGTGTGTCACCAGCATATTGTACTAAAAACCGCCATTTACTGAACACCTGTGATGTGGTGGTAACAGGCAAGGCCCTTTCCCTGCATTATCTCCTTTAACCTGCACGCTGCCCCTGTGAGCAAGATACGGTTCTTGCCCCATTTTACAGACTAGAAAACTGTGATGTGGAGAAGTTGTTTTTTAACCTTGATCACCCAGGTAATAAGTGGAGAAGGGAGCATTCAAAGCCAAGGAAGGCTGAGTCCAGAGCATTCTCTTTGCCCAGTGATGCTGTGTTACACAGAGAGGACCATGCAATTTCTGGAACATTCATGCCACTTAATTGTTTACTAAGACATTTCACATCCCCTTTCTTGTTATCCTTACATGGATACTAGCATCACTGTCTTCCTTTTTGTATATGAGGAAACCGAGGCTCAGAGAGAGACGAGGGTATTGAAGTTTCATAGCTCGCAAGTGATAAACAGGAGACATTCCATGTCATCTCCACCATACCATGCCGCAGACCCCTGACTCAG